TCGCAAAGAATTCAAACCAGGATCCCAGAGAAAAATCTGCACTCCCATATTCACAATAACCAAGAGGTGGAAGTGACCTAAATGTCCATCGACAAATGAATCAATAAATAAAATGAGGTAAATACATAAAATGGGATATTACCTTTAAAAGAAGAAAATCCTGTCACATATGTAATGTGGCTGAACCCTGAAGACATTATGCCAAGTGAAATAAGCTAGTCACAGAAAGATACTGCATGATTCCTCTCATATGAAGTATCTAAACTCATCAAAATCATAGAAACAGAAAGTTAAAAGGCGGTTGCCAAGAGCTATGGGGGGCGGCTGGGGTTGTGGCTCGGTGGTAGAGTGCTCACCTAGCATGTGTGAGGTACTGGGTTTGATCTTCAGCACCACATAAAAATAAATAAATAAAGATATTGTGTCCATCTACAACTAAAAAAGTATTTTTAAAAAGTTAAAAAAAAGAGCTATGGGGAGAGAGGTTAGGAATTTTTGCTTAGTGGATATAGAGTTTCATAGTGTTACAAGATAAAAAGAGTTTTAGAGATATGTTGAATGTGAATATAAGTAATACTACTGTACTGGACACTTAAAAATGCTCAAGATGATAAATTTTTAAAATGGTTAAGATGGTAAATTTTATGTGTATTTAACCAGTTAGAAGTAAAAAATAAATTCAGTAGGAAAAAATGGATAGACTTGGAATTATATATTCAAGTTGGAAGGGTATCTCTTCTCTAAGCAAAGAGGGGTGGTGAAGGCTTTTGCGTGTTGTCTTAGAAAAATGCATAAAATTCTTAAAAAGATAAACATAGAAGGCTAGGGATGTGTCTCAGTGATAGAATGCTTGCCTAGCACATGCCCTGGGTTCAATCCCCAGCACTGCAAGAAGAAGAAAAATAAAGATGAACGTGGTATAAAAAAAGTTAGTTAGCTTTATGTAGTTCATCTATTTCAAACTATAGTAGTTACCTTTTGTTATGGTTTGGATCTGAAATGCCCCCCCCCCATGTTGAAGGCTTGGTCCCTAATTCAGCAGTGTTCAGAGGTGGGGCCTTTGAGAGGTGAAGGCTGTGACCTCATCAATGGATGGATTGAAAGCTTCATGAGCTTGAGGGGAGGAGCTTTGTTATAAGTGAGCTCTCTCTTTGCTCTCTGGCTGCCATGAAGCGAGCAGCTTTGCTCCCCTATGTGTTCCCTGCCATCATGGTCTGCCAGGCCACAGGCCTAAACTCCATGGACCCAGTTGGCCATGGACTAAAACTTCTGAAACTGGGAGCCAGAGTATATCTTTTGTCCTTGAAGTTGATTTTTTTCAGGTATTTTGTCAGAGTGAAGGAAAACTGCCTTAGATGCCTTTCAAAAGGTAGACATAAGCTATGCATCTTCCAGGGTACACAGACTTTCCTCCTAACCTCTTACAAACACTTAGTGCAAAACTCTATTGTGTTAAATCTGCCATTTTGGAGCAGGAATCAAGGTACAGAATGACTGTCTTGCCCTTATGTCTCACAGATAAAAAGGATGCATTTATAAGATGACTGTGTATTCTGATTTCCAACTCCTGATTTACTTATACCTGGTGTTCTGGTGTAATTGTAATGGCACCCCCTTTCCCTCTCAACCATACTCTGGTTTACATGATAAATTCTCAGTCACCTTCTGTACAGAAGTTATGGAAATTGCTTTGAGGTTATGGTCTCTTCCATCTTGTCTTTGTCATATGATTCTCTAAGGGCCATTACAGATCCTCTGGCAAGAAACTTTATGTCTTTTATGACTTCAAAAGTGATACCTTCCTAAATATAAAGATGGGAAGTGGGCCTAAGATCTGTCAAAGGTCTTGAGAAAGAGTTTTGTATTAAAATTGCCCCTCATCTTCATTAAACAATCTTTTTGCAACATTAATGCTTGTTTAATGACTTTTCTTTCATATGTTTCTTATATGTTTCATATAAGATGTTTGTAAAATTAGCCAGACACTCTTTAACGTGTAGATCAGCTAGCAACTGGAAAATTCATAAGGGATTTACTAGAGGAGCAGTAATGTGAAGAACCAGCTAATTTTGCACAGTTCACCTCTTTTCTGTGCACAGTCCAGTGCACACTTTGCTGACATCACCACACAGGGCAAGCTGCCAGCCCCTTTCTTCTTTCCCAGGGTACGTGGTGTGGAGCAGGTTCAATGTGTGCTGGGCACCCATTTGTCAGGGTTCAGTGAAACAGAACACAGTGGCAGGCAGCAAGTTATATGAAGCAGATGCATTACTTATAGATAGGCATCAAGGGACAAAAGAAGCCTAGGATCATTTATGAGCTGGTCCCCCATGACTTGAGGCTTGAAAAACCCACCACAGTGTAGATGGAGGCTTGACTACATGGCCCCACTTGCATCACAATGTGAGGGACCCCAAAAAGCAGTCCACCCCAGGTATATAAACCAGGGGCCACAGGACCCACAGGACCCACTGGGCAAAGTTTCAAAAGACATTCCATTTCCAGAGGAGAGTGGAACAAAATCTGGCATTCTAAGACTAGTTCCTCCCTACCTCAGCTGGTATATTCCCAAAGAAGGACATGAACAAGGTCTGGGTTGTTTCTCCATATCTCAGGAAATTCATTGTGTTCCCAGAATATTCAACACTTATTCTGGAGACCTACAAGTGAGAAAGTGGGAACTGGGTTAGTTTGAAGTCACCTGGACAACTGTCTTGCATGTGGGCTATGGTAAAGTTGGTTCTTCTAAA